TAAATTTCAGATACTGACGACCAGAATTGACGAGGAGATAGCAAGGAGCTTGTCGATGCAAAGGGTGTACGAGGCAAAGGATCTAGGTAAGTGGTCACGCGGAATTTTAAACCCAGCACCCAATGTGTGAAGGCCGCAAAAAAGCTAGAGGACACTTGTTTCGTCAATGCGCAACAATTACGTGCAGAAAACTAGTGGTCTTTGTCCCCCTATACAAAAGCATCGTCCGTTCGCATCTGGAATATTGTGTGCAGGCTTGGGCTTCATTCTTTCGGAAGAACGTCGATACCTTAGAGAGGGTTCAACGTCTAGCCACGAGAATGATAGATGGGCAACGGCGCAAGAGCTATGAACAGCGGCTCAGAAATTTAAATCTGTTCTCCCTCACACGGAGGCGAATTAGAGGAGACCTAATCGAGACTTTTAAAATTGTCAAGGGTATGTCAGGTCTTAGGTTTGACGACCTGTTTTTCTGGGTACCGCTTAGAGGCACGCGCGGACATTACCTACGTTTGCAGAGAAACCAATCTAGGCTACAACTGAGAGCAACGTGTTTCACTAACCAGGTAATTCCGTTGTGGAACTGGTTGCCGCTGCAGTAAAGTGATTGCTTTTAAAAAGACACTTGATGAGTGTTAGATAGCGGTTTTCCCTGAGGTAAGCGTTTAGTACCATCTATAAACTAACTACAAGGGATGTGATACTGCACCACATATTACTGCTTTTCAGAAAAATTCCTTATGGAAGTGTTGGAAGCCAGGGAATCTCGCCGACAACACAAATCTGGACGCCCAATTGGCAAGAGGCACAATTCGTCATGTGAGAACTGAAATGAACATATTGGCTTAAGCCGCAATTCCTGTGACCTGGCCTGACCTGCTTGGACTTGAACCTTAGACCTTGACCGCGCGCGGTTGAAAATCTGTCGTGGATCGATAAAAATCGAAATAGTCTCGCTGGAACGAAACTGAAACCGTAACGGATTGTAAGAGATTTTCGAACAAACGTTTCGGTTAGTCCCCACGTGTCTGATCTTGTGGTTATCCGTGAGATTAACACACGTTTTATGGAATTTAAGTCCTAAATTGCAAACGCTGAACTTCCTCCGTAACAATAAGCGTGGAGGAATGTCAAAATCAGGATTCTGCGGTGCGCAGAAATGTAAAAAGCCAGTCTCCAAAGGAATACAATGCGCTTGTCGTGGCTACTGGTGTCATCAGAGCTGTTCCCGCCTAGACAAAAGAGTGTATGAGATATACTCGAGTAATTCAGCGCTCAAGTGGATATGTTACCTGTGCGTAGCCATGGCAGAGAATACAACTAGAAAGCGCACTACTACGGCATCCGAGCCTAGCGGTACAGACAACCGTGACCGCAACACTCATCTCGATCAGACGCAATCGATCAAGCGTCTAGAACAATGGATTGCTGGCCTGGAGACCGAAGTGTCTGAACTGAAACGCGCCAAAGAACTGACGACAGGCCGAAATAGGAGCGTTCTCATTATGAACCACGAAGAACCGGCTATAAGAGACGCGAAGATCCGGGCGGATATTGACGGTCGAAGAGTCCGTGAGATACTTAGAGCCGCAGGGTTACCCGTGTATGCACTCATTCATAGGGTTCAGAGGATTGGAAGATGGAGAGAAGATTGTGCCCCAGGTGGCAGGGTTGCCAGACCCATTCTAGTCGAGTTCGGAAATCCTAATATTAGGGATATGCTACTATGCAGTAGTGAAAGTGTAGAAAGAGCTACCGGGGGTAGATATAGAATTGCACCAGATAACTTAAGTCGCATGATTGAACGACCCCTGATGGACGTCCAACCAAAAGTAGACCAGCCGCAACCAGGAAAAGGTGTATTCGTAAAGAGCGGCCCCAAAGGTTTTCAAACCCACGCCTTGGTAAAGGTTCACAAATAAACGGTGGGCAGAAAGCACCGA